AGACGGAAAACATGAATATTATAAATTTTTGGAAAATGGGCGTAGCCACGCCCACTTATGGTTACATGTGTATATCTTGGTAACCGCTGCACCAATTTCTTCCAAACTTGGCACAGTTGTTGGCCTTAGTACAGCATATTAAATGGCTGAAAATTTTAAAAATCGGACAATAACCACGCCTACCTCCCATATAACGGTAATTTAGAGAAATACAAAATCTTCGATAAATCAGTAAATATTAAAGCTAATTTATTCAAAATTGATGCTTGCAACAATTCTTTACCAAGAAATACGTTTATGGTAAAATTTTGGAAAATGGGCGTGGCAGCGCCCACTTATGATCACATATATGTATCTCGGTAACCGTTCTACCAATTTGTACCAAACTGGGTATGGTTAGTGTGCTTGCCACATGAAAGCGAAATGTTGAAAATTATTGAAATCGGAATAAAATTGAGGCCGCTTATCATATAACGGCAAATTTCAGAAATGCTTGAAACTTCAATATTTCGAAATTGAAGGACGCCAATTTACTCAAAATTGATACACCGCGGCTTACCATCTAGCGGAAGGTTTCGGAAAGGTGAAAAAACATATATTTAATACTTGCGCCGGGTATTTAATGTTCGGCTTCGCCCGAACTTAGACTCTCTTACTTGTTTTTTATTTTTTTCTGTAAGCAGTTTTGTAAATCTTAGTAAATATAATAAAGTGCAAGGTTTAGGCTACTGCAAAACTGGCGTTAATTTTTTTTTTTAATTTTCTTTGAAAACGGTTTTACGCATTTTCTTCCATAAGAAAAAAGTGCAAAAAGCCGTCAGCATAAAAAATATTAAAATCAACGCAATTTTGTAGTAGCTTAAATCTTGCACTGTATTATACTATAATTTAATGTTTTAATAATGTTTTTTAATTAAATAACATAATATAATTAATGTACTCATTTTACTCAACTTCGGTGCAAAAAAAAAATGCATAACTCAAATTATTGTAGAGTGCACCCCTTAATACTATACTTAAATATTGCGCAATAGTTAGAGCTACCATTGTGATTTTTTTTAAATTTTTTTTTGAGCTGGCATATTTTCAAAAACAATTTTTTTGTATCAAAAAATTTTTATATGAAAAATTTTTCAAGAAAAAAAAATTTTAAATATATCTTTTTATAGAGAATTTTGATGTGTGTATGTGTGATTTTTTCAATTTTTTTCCTCGCCCCGTTCTTGATATATTTGGAAAACTATTACATCGATTTGTTTTTGTTTTTGTGCTGTAAAGTTTTTAAAAATGTATTAATCAAGCTAAAATTTCACATTTGTTTATTATTTATGTTTATCCATCAGCCCTAAAAAATTGAAACAAATCAAACACATTAAGTGTGTGTAAACCCCGTCCATTTTGGTATGGAACGCCCCATATATAAGAATTATGCTATGTGCATTGGTTAGCGTTTGTGCTCCTATGTTAAGCGAAAGATGGTTACCAATCGCTGCCTTTTATTTAAAAAAGGTTTCACATGCAAATATTTTTTGGCAATTTAGCATTTCCTCAAAAAATCAGAGACCAAGTACATAATTTGAAAAAAACTACTACTACTACTACCTATGCAATATGCCTTGACTCGCATCTTTACCTATATTGTATGAATTCTTGCTCAATTTTTCCTTTTAACAGCAAAAATTTGTAAATTTCAACTCTAGAATTTCGCGTTTATTTTCTTTCGAGTCTTGTTTGCCTACGTTGCGTGTTGTTTGTTTTTGTTGTTAGTGCGATATTTTTCTTCTTGTCTCGCGTTTGTAAATAAATATGGTTTCTAGTTTTTGCTGTTATTTACACTGTGCACGCCGTTATTTTTAGTGTTTTCATATGTTTATTTACTGCTATAGTTCTGCATGTAAACAATTGGTAGTCTAGTGCGATTTATTTTTTATTTTTTTTTTGTTTTGTGTCTAATGTTGACTGTTACACACTGAAAACAAATATTTTTTACAAATTTGTTGTTTGCTTAAAAAAATCTTCTTTTGTTTTTCGCTGTAATTTTTGTTTTTTTTTGTTTGTTTTCGATTTAGCATATATGTATGTATTAGATACACTCTTGTTTTTGCTGTTGCTGCTTCCTTTACTTAGTTCGAGCAATTACTTTGTGTTGTTGTTTTTATTTTTGCTTTGTTTTTAATTGCGCCTATTAAACGATTTTCCGCCTGATTGCTAACGAAAATTATTTGAAAATCATGCCATTCAAGCAAGTCTAATGCTGTTAGAGTTTTTTTGGTATGTGTGTATATAAAATGATCGCTTGTAAGTTACTCAATTTCGGTTTTACGTCGCGTACATTTTTTTTTTAGTTTTCGTTAAAAACAGCAAATTTATTTCTTAAAAACTCTTTTTCTTAAAAAATTCACTTGGAGTCCCCGCACTTGTTCATATTCACTAATATTCATACTTATTGTATGAAATCGATAGATCGAAATCACACCCGTTGCCGTCGTTGTCGGGGCATTTGGTCGCGAGCCGCGTAACTCGAAAAACTAGTCGGAGAAAAA